TACTACATAGACACTCAAACTGGTCTAACATACACACACACACACACACACACACACACACACACACACACACACACACACATTGGATGCATAAAGAATTTTACAACGACTGATTACATATTTCTTGTCAAAAATTGTACTTAGTAATGTAATCTGTAATGTAATCTGAAATATTTAAGAATGACAAACTCTGTGTAATGTAACTATGCATATGTATGTGTGCTAGCTTGCAGTGCGCTGGCCCTGCTGAGAGAGCAATCTGCAACTTCAGTGAGTGAGCAGAATTCTTCATCCACGCTGCTCAGCCAGGAGAGACTGATCCGCAGAGCTGCAGGCCTCTCCCACTTTCTGTCCAATGAGGTGGCAGTAGCGCTGGTATGCCCTCACACCACTGTCACTTAAGTAGCACCACCATCTAGTGGTTGATTATAATGTCAAGCAAAACTTGCTGACTTGCAACTTTTGAATCAACATGGATCAACATTAAAAATTACAATTGTAGCAATCCCTTGGATTCAAGAGCCTGGACTGATGCTTTAGGTTCCCTTAAATTCACCACGACAATGCGATGTATTCAAACAGCATCTTTATTCCGTACACTTTGAAGCGACTCACAACTCCCCACAGCACCGTGAAAACTGTATTAACACGTACAAATGACAAAATTCATAATTCAAGCAGACTCATGAACATGTTGAATTGCATAAAATAAGCATCAAAACGTTTACATTGCACAACAAAACATGCATTCATACATGTATTACAATCAACATACCTTGCTACGCTCACCAAGGAATGCAGATCAAATATGATAATCCTTTCGTCATCATCAGACACATGTCAAGTTCACTTCAAAATGAGGCAAAGTATAAAATCCACATTAAAACAATGGCTACGTTTACATGCAACCAAATAACCCGTTTGTAATCGGATTGATGGCTCAATCGGACTGAAAAGCCTTCATGTAAACCCCTTAATCGATACGATTGAGCTCGATTGAAGGGGGTGGTTTATTCCTTTTCTAATACGATTGAGAGTGCATGTAAACACTCAATCGGATTGAACCCCGAAACTGAAAGCACTGTGCATGTGCAATGACGCAGAAATAGCGTTATGACGTGCAGAACGAACTGCACTTCCTTTTGAATAAAGTGTTGTACAAATGCGTGTCCTGTCTTTATAAAACTCTCCTTTCACTCAGCAACTGTGAAGTGGAGCAGGACAACCTCCCACCAGTCCTTGTTTTGGATTCTCATCCACAGGCAACCCGTTTTGGGCACGGGGAGGGGCATTTTTTTGCGTGATAAATATGAGCACCACTGGATTTATCCATAAATGGATAAATATTAATTCTGCTGTTAAAAACAAATAAAGAAGCCTTGTAGGGGTGTTGGTGATTATGGGCAAACAGTGAGAAACTCCATATTTGTGCAGTGTGCGCATGTAAAAAAAAAATAAAATAAAATTCAGATTTGAAGCTTGTGACATATAAACACGCACATCAACCCGATCACTTTATTTAGCATTCATGTAAACACTACATTCAGATTCATCAATCGGAATGAATTCAGTCCGATTGAACCAAAAATTGTGCATGTAAACGTAGCCAGTGTAGGCTCAAACAATCACTGTCACCGCCCACCATCTTATTAGGTTTACAATTTCAGCACAAGTGTTTGTGATTTCTGGTTACAATACATACACACACACACACACACACACACAAAGTACAACAACATTCAAGATACAGAAAATTTGAAAAGTAAAAGAAGTGCAAATTAAATTACGCAAACATCTTACACAGTTCATACAAGCTTCTTACATTAGGAACATGAATACAGTATTTCAAATGGCCCCTTATAACAATTTAGGTGAAATTCAGAACAAATAAAATGAATATTGGCACTATAGATTAAAAGAGCTTATCGTCCTGTATTGTTTTGTGCATAACCACACTTTAATGGGGGGTTTGTAAAGTTTGTTTTATCTGTTAAATTTCTATGGATTTTATGGGAATGAGGACTGTTTTGCAACAAAGCCACTTTTTTTTTATTTTTTATTATTGAACCCTGAATGACTTTTCTTATATGTCTGCACAGGAATTACTCCAATGCATATTTTAGAACAACTTGACTAAGCTGATTGAGAACAGTTTGATCTCTTGAAGTGAAACAGAGATTTATCGCATAGTTTATCACATTTTACTTGTATTCGCTTAAGCAAAAAATAATAATATATATATATATATATATATATATATATATATACTTTGTTACAGTGAAGAGAAACCGTAATAATTCAAATGGACTTGATTGTCCTGAAAATAATGTCACTACACAAAAATATTCGGGGTCCTAATAGTTAACAAACAAGCAACCATAAATGAATAAATATTTGTTAATTTATTTTTACTGGTTAATGTTTCAATTTAACAAAGACTGTGTAAAAGAAATACTCAGTCATTGGCAAATCATTCAAGTGTATTTATGTTGTCTTTACTCTCTATAGCCTTGTCAGACTTTGTACCAGGTCTTCCATGATGCTATCACCAGGTTAATCGAGTATGGTGTGCTCATTGTTGCTGAGGTAAGCTGTGTCTACTCTTCTTTGTCTTATTTCTCATTTGAGACTTAAAGTTTTGCTGTTGGCTTATTCTAATGACATGATTGGATTTTAGGTGGATTCCTGAAGATCCTATGATCTCATTATTGCCAATTCATTACTGACTTTCTGAATGAGAGTGAATACTGTAGAGTATAAGTGTTGAAATTATTTGTGTCTACGATACATTGCGATGCGGAAGATGCAGTAATGGACCATAATCGATTATAGCCTACTACATCATTCACATACGCGCTTGTCATGCAAAATAGATCTTTGCATTAGTGTGAATGCAGCCTATTAAAGCTGCCACTGTCTATGATGTAATCAGTCATAATCAAACAAAAATAATGCTGAGGAAAAAAGAAAAACCCATGACTATGAATGTCTGTAAACTTTCGGAAACTTAAAGCACTCTCTTGATACAGAAAGTATTTTTTGTTTATCACTTGTAATTGTCTATTTTCCCCTTTATTACTTCATATTTGCTTGTATGTTTTGAAGCTATTTTGGGGGGGGTTAAATTCTTAATAATTGTTTTGATTTATTATTAATTTGTAATTATTTTAAAAAGTTGCCGGCTTATATAATTTACTAAAATTGCACAAAATAAATTTGTAATAAAATCGTGATGCATAGTGTAATCAAATCGAATCGTGAAACCAGTGACGATTCACACATCAAATAATAATTGTGCCTAATATTATATTATTTGTGGGTCAGTCATTAATTAACAATAATCAATAGTAATTATTTTAGAAAAATATTTGACTGAAAAATGTTTCTTAAAATCATCTTTATGTTCTTGTGTTCAGGAGGACCAGGAGGAGTTGAGCCCTTCTGAGGAGCCTTGGCCCAAGAAGTTTCCAGAGGCTCTTGCTTGGCGAAGTGATGAAGATGAAGAAGACAGTGACTTTGGAGATGAACAAAGAGACCGTTACCTGAAGGTCTGAAACGTATCAATCTATAAAAGCATGACAACTTATGAAAGTGGTCTATATTTCAGGTTATTTAAAAAATAAATAAATACATTCCCTTGTAGAATGATGTTCCAACAGCCCACTACACAGCTGATGCAGAGTTTCCGCACTATTTTAAAACCCCTACATTAAACATCTTAGTAGAAATATTGCCATTACATGTTGTTAAATCCAAATGTGCTTTTTATTTTAGGTGAGCCCATCAGCTGAGCACCAGGAATTTTATACTTTTCTGCAGAGGATTCTCACTCCGGTGATGGAGGCCTATAGTGGTGCAGCAATCTTTGTACACAGCCTGAGTTCGCCCATGTCAGAGAGAGAGTATACACACAAGCTTTTCAAGTATCTGCTGACACGTACAGAGAGAGGAGTGGCTGCATATGGTGAGCAGCCGGCACTTTCCATTTCTTTGTTTGAGCGTGTTTTTCCTCTCCCACCTTAAAGAAAACCCAAAACGTATTATTCCCCTTAATTATTCTTTCCCAGCACCGTCACATTTATCTTTTAATGAATGTTATTTTTATCCATTTTGCCATTACTCATTCTTGACCTGTATTCATGGTTCGTTCATATCTTCATATGGTTAAGCACTTTGAGTTATAATCTTGTAGGTGTTCTAGATATGAATGTATTGATATTGATGACACTAATTGTTATGTGCTTTTTTTTTTTTCTTAGGAGAGAGTGCCACACACTACCTCGTAAAGAATACAGTGAGAACATTTAAAGAGCTGGGGGTGAGAGAGCATTCCTCTGACATTTGTGCTTAAAGGTCGAACCTATTGATAAGAGAGCCTATAAGTGGGCATGAATTTCCACCGACTCAAAAGTCATCACTTCCTTATGTTCAGATGTGACAATGCACATGTTTCTCATCCTCCACTTCTTGCATCATCAATGCAGTCATCATTTATTATCAGTGAATAGCAAATTACAATTTTAATCCGTTCATATGACTTCAGAAATTGCTGTATGGGCTGCTTTTTTCATATTTACTTTTTAGGCAGTTTTTTAAAGTTCTAAACTATATCCTCTCATTTTATCTTTTGGGTTTCATAGATTAAAAAAATAATGTTAAAGAAATGAAACAACATACGAGGGTCAGTAAATTATGTTGAACTAACCCTTGTAAAGCAATATTGCAGTTAATTTTATTCATTTATCTTTGAATATTTTAAAAGCCATTTTCTATTTTTAAAATGTTTATGTACTTCAGAGATTACAGAACAATGTTGACATGCAATGCTTTTTCCTTTTTTCTTTACTTTTTAATAAGTGAAAGTGAAACTGAAAGACATTTTTGAAAGAACTAGAACCACTGGTCTAAATTTAAAACAAGAAAATTAATTGAATGTGCACATACTATTCTTTCCTCTTTTTTTCTTTCTGAAGAACTTTCTGTGCAAGGACTGAAAGAATCATGTTTTTTGTGTTTCACAGGTGCTTAAAGAGAGACGAGAGGGTAGTGTGTGCTGTCTGGAGCTGAGCAGCACTTTTTTACCTCAGGCCAACAGGAACAAACTCCTGCACTATATTCTGGGTTTCGGTCTGCTGTGAGACATTAGGACCATCAACACAGCTGCACGGCTTTCCACCCCACTTAAGGGCTTTTTACTGGCTAATCATGACTGTCAAAGGTGCTATACTAAGGAAAGCTTTACCTGGAAGTGCCTTCACCAAACGCCTCATACTAGACTTAAGTTAGTCTTCCCTTTCACTGTAAACCCTCCACTTCCGCACTACTCAATACTCAAGCAGTTCTCTCAGCCCTTCCGTTTACTTCCATTCACACAATACTGTACCCGTTCTGCCAGTATTCCAAGGCTGTGAGTTCCAGGGCTTGGGAAGTTGTGGAATTCTCTTCATTGCATATTGATTTAGTTATACTCGGCTCTAAAATGTTTTTTTTTTAATCCTTTCCAGTAATCTTGGGCTGCGTTCCAGTTTGTTTTTTTATGCCCTTCACAGTCGCAAACTTCCCTTGGCCTCGTTTACTCGGATGTATTGATTACGTTGCATGAGGGCCCACTTCTGGCGGAACACTTGCAGTGGGTTGAATTGAAACGTCCTAAGCCAGGGATCCTCAAATCTGGCCAATTTCCTGCAGAGTTTAGCTCTAACCCTAATCTAACACACCTGAGCATGCTAATCAATGTCTTCAGGATCATTAGAAAATCATAGGTAGGGGAGTTTGATCAGGGTTGGAGCTAAACTCTGCAGCGCATTGTCCCTCCAGGCCATGATTTGAGGAACCCTGTCCTAAGCCCTTGATCACTTAGAATCCGCTATGGAGTTGGTTTATTGTTTAATTTTTTTCCCCTTAATAATTTGTTTGGTGCAGCATTCTATATGTATATAGGTATGCTTGGGCTGTTATAAATGTTTAAAAATAATTATAATTTATGTCGAGGGTCTGTCCATATGAACTTTCCTCGTCCACTTTACGAAGTGGAACACACTTCAGAATGGCAGTGGGGATTCCCCCGAGGGGAAGTACTTAGTGAAGTTTGCGAGTGCGTGTCTAAAAGTGGAGTGGATGGCAGCCTTGAACTACAGGAAAAGTGAGGGAAATTCCTTGGTCAAAATGTGTGGGAGCCTTGGTAGAATATATAAGCTTTATGAGAGCAGCTCAAATTGCTGAGTTGTAAATTAGATTTGAAGTGACATTGAAAGTGTTTTTGAGATTGAATAAAAGCTGTGAAGGTTTGTAAAGTTACACACAAGGCATATTTTAGCAGTTTGCACAAATTTGTTCTCTGTGTGTCAATATGGCCGCAAATATTCAGGTTAAAATTGCAATAAAACATCTGTTTTGCTACTTAATAAATGCTGTGCAGTATATACTGCATACTTCCTGTAATTTGAATCAGTTGGGATTATTCCACATTTAAAAAATTATATTATCATGTTGCATTATAAATTGAAATTTTTTAAAATTAATCAAAAAAATCAAGAAATATAAAAAATCACAGCTGATGTTATTTACTATTCATTTGACACTAGTAACGCAAGTTCAAGCGCATTGTATCGTGAGATGCAGTGCTTCATGTCGAATAAGCTCTCTTAATGCTTATTTATATGGCTGAATTAATGCTGCTCTGTGGCTTCACATAATTCTGTATAAAGATGTAATGCTGAATAAAAGCCAGATTATGCCTGCTTTGACCCACCTCAGCCCATAATATAAAAGTATACAGTTGTCATTTTTATGCAAATGCATTTATGCCACCTATGAGTTGCATTAAACAGTCTGTGTAAAGACACCTAAATGCCACTACAGAAACACTTCTATGCTGCCTTTGCAGTGTAAATTTGGCATTATACAGTATAATTCAAATTTTTGCAAATAGGTAATCTGTGTATTCTATGTGCATTGGTCAAATGTAATACAGCAGTAGTATACTATTCTGAAAACAGCCAACGTTTTTGAGTTGAAGGAGGCAGAATAATCGACAAAATGTGATTCCTGACTCTTCTGTACATTGTGTGAATGTGTTCAATCAGCACTGAAGATTGTATGTTTGAAATTCACTTGAATTTCATTGTCATTTCATTCTGTTACACTGTGGAAGCTTCTGTCACGAAAACAAATTCCTCGTATGTGTAAACATACCTGGCAATAAAGCTCATTCTGATTCTGATTCTGATATAAACAGCCATATGCATTTCTCTCTCCCAGCAGACGGCAATAAGATGTTTTTTTTTATTAGTTGCCTGTCCATTAATGCAGTCATGTACTCTCATCCCAAGTGAAGTGTGGTCAGCAATCGATCAATAGATCTTTTTTGTGCTGTGAACGATATATATTTGAGGTGTTATTTTAAACCATTCTCAGAAAACAAAGATTAACGCAGTCACATTTAATGTTCTCATATCAAATGCATGTTTTCCTCAACATTTTTTAGTTAGCCTTGTATATATTAGTTGAGATCCTACAGTTGTCTTGTGGGATTGGGGAGTTTACTAAATCATATTCTGTTCACTTATCTGAAAGCTGTAAATCTATAGAAGAAAGCATTTATGCTGTTTTTTTTTTGTTGTTGTTGTTTTTGGCATGTTGTCTGAGTGATGTGTCGTTTAGTGCAAGGTTTCCTCAAACTGCGGTTTGCGAGATGGTGAAAAGTAAATAATTCAAAACTCAAAAATGATTGGGGAATACCTGTTTTATTACAGTAATATTGAAAGACGAATGACACCAACAGTGAGGTCATGTTTTTTTATAACTCATTTTTTTCTGTGGTTTCATGCACTGTTGCAGATATTAAATAAATGAATGTTAACAACTAGTAGACTTCATTTTCTAAGTCTAAGCAATGTTACTTTGGATTATTTGATATACCAAAATTCAGACTTGACCATAACTAAATGATGTGATCACACAATATTGTGCAATGTACATGAAGATAATCTTTACAACCTCTCAGAATTTTTTTTTGTCCAAATCCCTGAGTTCCACACAAGAACATCTATTATCTTTGTTGTTATTGTATTTATTATCCCCACAATGGTCTACCTGTCAGGTCTCCCAGTGTGACCAGCTTCCAAGAAATCCTCTAAAATCAGCAAGGCTGGAAGACCGGCTAATATTGGAAAGCCATTTGTGCTGGTTTAAGCCGTTTTTTTCCAGCAGGGAATATAAACATGCAGAGTTTCAAAGGGAGGGCATTTAAAAAGAGACGCAAACTCTGCCCACAACGACGGCAACAGTTTAAGGAGGGCACTGAAGAAGAGTACCTCAAAGAGAACACTTCCACAATGAAGAACCAATGCAGAGGTCTGAGTGTTATTCTGCCCAATAACAAAGAACTGAGCATGACTGTTGGGGTGAGTGAAATGGATTTATACTTCCTAATATCACAATGATATTTTAATATCTGACATGGAGTGCCACTTTAAGAGTCACAGCCTCTTATTTTTGTTAGTAAGTTATATTAAGTATGATTGATGTTGGATGTTATAAAATCTTTCCATATATTTTGCCTTTGTGATGAACATTTATTCAGATTTCCGACTTATTAAAGTTACAGCACTGCTCAAAAACAGCCTGAACTGGCTTTCTGGTTAATTTATTTTATACGTCGCTTGTCTTACTGTTTAGCATCTCTGTATTACAGCTTAAAGACAGAGGTCAAGACGTGTTCAAACAGCTGTTCGAGCTACTCGGCACCTCAGATCTTACCCTCTTTGGTCTGAGTGTGGTAAAGGGTCTGTTTTCCTTTTTTTGTTTATGTATGTAAAACTGCTGACTAAGCCCTTTATGTTAGAATGATTTAACTAAGGGCTGAGCTTTGCATAAAAAACAAGAATGAAGGGAGTACCAGCTCTGTTTGTCTAAACCAAGGTAGCCATTTCAACTTTTCTTGTTCATTCCATTTCATTTAGACAATCAACCCCTGTTTTTGGATCTGGAGCAAAAATTGTCCTTGTATCTCCCAAAGTCCTGGAGAAAGAATACATCAAAGGTAAAATCAAGCTCAAATAAAGCGGTCATGTGAAAAAAATAGGACACCCTATTGAATTCCATGGTTTTCTGTATCGGGACATAATAAAAAAAAATTAAAAATCTGGTCCTTGGCAGGTCTTAAAATTTGGAAAATAAAACCTCAGATGTACAACAACACATGACATATTGCACCATGTCATTATTTATTTAACACAAATAAAGCCAAAATGGAAAGGCCATGTGTGACAAAGTTAGGACACCCTTACTGTTAACAGGAATTAAGAGGGTAATTAGCAGTCAGGCACTGCTAATCAAATGCCTTTGATTAACTGATCATCAGTAAGAGTAATAAAGAGTCCTCTGTAAAAGCAGACGTTTTGGCAGTTTGCTGGTCTGGAGCCTTCAGGTGTGTGTTAACACAATGCCAAGGAGGTAAGACATCAGCAATGATCTTAGAGAAGCAATTGTGATTGCCATCAATCTGGGAAGAGTAACACGGCCATTTCCAAACAATTTGAAGTCTACCATTCCACAGTGAGAAATGTTACTCTCAAATGGAAGATATTCAAAACAGACACCAATCATTCCAGGAGTGGACGTCCCAGCAAATTCACCCCAAGTTCAGACCGTGCAACGCTCAGAAGAATGGCAGACAACCCAAGAACTTCACTGCAGACTCTACAGGCTTCAGTTAACATGTTAAATGATCAAGTTCATGACCGTACGATTAGAAAAATATGGGACAAGTATGGCATGTTTAGAAGGCTTGCCAGAGGAAAGCCTCCTCTATCTAAAAAAATGAAGTTGCATCTGAAAAAACTTCTAGAGCAATGTCCTTTGAACAGACAAGACCAAAGTTGAGATGTTTGGCCATCATGCACAGCGCCACGTTTGGTGAAAACCTAAAGAGCATATCAGTACAAAAACCTCATAAGTCACTGAGGTCTGCTGGTGGAGGGCTGATGATTTTGGGCTTGTTGACCTGGGCACCTCACAGTCATTGAGTCGACCATGAACTCCTCTGTGTTCAAATTTAATTTACGTCTCTGATGATTGGTTGATATCAGAAGGGAGGCTAGCTTACACGTTATGGTATTACAACTGTGAAATTACAGACAAAAAATACACATTCTA